CGAGCAGTGACTCAGGGAACACTGAAGAGATACAAGACGAGTCGGACAAGGATGGAGAGACGGAGGGGCCAATCAGCTGATACCTGCCCAGTCTGGCCCCGCCCTCTTCCCCCCACGAGCTCCAATCAGCTCTCGGGCCTCCCAGCAATCGGCCAATGGCCTTACACTGAGGGACAGAGCCCACTCCCACAAACCCCAAATTCTGTAGGTGCTTTAACGTCTCCGTGTCAGAGTGGGGCGGAGTTGATGAGGGTTGTTTTTGTGCTTCGACATCAATATCGATGCGTCACACGGTGCCACAGCTGTCACGGGACAGCCTAACTACGAATCAGATCGATCCCAGCTAAAATACATAACACAATACACTTGATCAAACCCGAAATCAAGCCCATATCTCGATAAGAAACCGGAAAACGTTCACACAATGTGAGTGATACACAAGACTGAAAGCTGATCAGACCAAAACGGACTGAACTCGCTGCGATCGAACACATCAGAATGAGTTCCTTAATATTTGTGGCTTTTTATTTTTCTAAAAACTATTTCAGAAATCAACAGTTTACTGCAGAAACACTTTGGCCTTTAAGCCCCGAACCCAGTTTGCGAATGTGGAAACAGTTTATGTTCTATGCAATCGGCCTTATTTTGTGATCTGTGTTTTCCCAGCTAACAAAAATACGCTCTAAGAATGTTTTGCTAACGTTCCCAGCTAGTTTTGAAAATTTTATTCCTGAATGTTCTCTGAACATCAAAATGTCCAGTTTTCATCAAAATGTTTTAACCCTCTGGTGCTCTTCAGTCATTTTTCACCCACAAATTATGGTTTTTTTTTGTTTTTTTTGTTTTTTTAATTCATCAGAATAGAATGAATCTTGGTAAAGGATTTGGCAATTGCTATGTGAAAAAAAAAATCATGGGCATGATTTAAAAAGATTAAATGGTTGTGAAAAAAATATTCCCACTTTTTGCAGTCAAAAATGTCCGCATTGGAAATGAATGGGAAACGAATTTCATCTAGTGGAAACGTTTGGTACTGCGCTCAAAGAAAATCTTACTGAAAGCTCGTTTTTTTGTGATATCAACTTCAAATTCGGAACACAACTTGTTTACAATTATGGTTTTAATTATATTGTCAGTTTTAGAGTAAAACATGTTTCGGAAAATATGTATTATAACAATAAAGTTAAGCACCAGAAGGTTAAAACCTTTTTTTTTTTTCCTGGTTATGCGAACGTTAAGGGAACATTCCATTTTCTCATTTTGCAAACATTATGGAAATGTTACTTTTGAATGTTCTCTGAACGTTCTGAAACAATTAGTAACATTTAAAAAAAAAAATGTCAGATGAATGTCCAACTGAAAGATTTCAGAAAAAAAAGTTTTGAGACCATTCTTAAAAACCAGATAACTTTAAACAAGCATTCTATTAAAGTTACTGAAAGAACGTTTGTTGATAACTTTGAGAAAACCTTGCCAGAACATTAGCAAAACGTTCCCTGTTAGCTGGGTTTGATTTGCCTTAGGCGATTTCATGTGTTATGTACTACGTTCACATGTTTTAATGTTTACACACTTAATGTCAGAATCTGTGGAACAGTGTCCCATCATTTTAAGCAGCAACCAATGATGATTGAAGCTTTTTTAAGGGTTACACACATCAATATCTCAAATATTAAAGAACTATGTGCCTATATGTACATTGCAGGTTCATTTTGGATGGCCTTACTGCATTTCCACTACTTTCTAAAGTTGCACTCATTATAATCACGGGGGAGATTATCAAATATATTTTATTGATTGTATGAGGACTTGTCTAAGCAGTTTCTTTCTTAGGTTATATAGTTAGAAGAGTTTCCAGGTGGAGGTTTTTATTGTATATAGACCATGTTGGGTGTATCTGAAATTATACCCATGTCTATAAATATATGTAGATAAAAAATGTCAAATTATGGCATTAAGCCCTCACAGTGGCCACTGTTCCATACAGATTCAGGTTTGTTTTCATGGATATGGTTTGTTAATATAATTACCTTTTTGTTTATTTTGCTTGGTCTTTTTTGGCTCTTTATATTTGGCATTTTTAGCTTATACACTAGTGGTCAAATGTTTGGAAGAATTAAGATTTGTTAATGTTTTTAAAAGAAGTCTCTCCTGCTCCTTATTTCATCAAAACACAAACATATGAAGCAGCACAAGTGTTTTCAACATTAATAATAATCAGAAATGTTTCTTGAGCAGGAAATCAGCATATTAGAATGATTTCTGAAGATCATGTGACACCGAAGACTGAAGTAATGATGCTGAAAATTCAGCTTTGCATCACAGGAAAAAAAATTACAATTTAATATATATTCAAATAGAAACAGTTATTTGAAATTGTAATAAAATTTCACAATATTTACTATTTTTACTCTATTTTTGCTCAAATAAATGCAGCTTTGGTGAGCAGAAGAGACTTCTTTCCAATTAATTATTCCAAATGTTTGACCAGTAGTGTACATTCCTTGGTTAAAAATTGTGTTCAAACATATTGTTTTAAACATATTAATCTGAAATATGGGGAAATTTGATGGGTTTTATTAATTGATCAGTGATTTAATTATAAGCTCAATGATGTAATTATAAGCTCAAAATATGGTCGCAAAGGGTTTTTTAAAAAATATTTTATATTTAACAATAAGTTGGTGGGCATCATTTTTGTTTATTCATTTGACAACATATTCATTTAGCTAAAGAGTTGATATCATATATGATCAAATCATCTGTACATTTTGCAATTTAGTTTGTGTATTTTATTTCCTAACTTATCAAAGATTGGGAAAAAATCTGGCTTTTGAATTTTTATAATATATAAAATTCATCTGATTTTATAATATTCTGGGTATCCGGGGTTAATTTGGATGCTTTTCCCTGAAAAAATTAAACATGCACTTATAGGAGTCTTTGCCTTTTGAAACACTGTTAGCCTATTTTTTTATTGTTTATGGTGAAAATCAAGCTATTTTTTTTGTCTGAATCTGAATCCATAACATCATATGTCAGATGTCTCTTCTCAAAATCGATTGTATGGTTTTTGAACAAACAAATGGGAAAAGGGCAGTATCACAAGGTGAATTACCACACAAAATCATATGCTGAAATAAAAAAAAAAAAGGTTTCTGATTTAATTCCATTGTGTTCATGGCATTTTATAGAAAAAAGTGAGAATTATCACTGTAAAGTATCCTAAGCAAAGGTATGAGTTGGTAAACGTCTTTTAGAAGTTATTAAGCTGGAATGTTGTATTTGAAAGGAACTTACTAATTGAAACTGCATGAGAAAGTAATGCTGTCATCATATTTGTGTTTTTGTCAATTTAATAAAAGCACAAAATGGCAGCAAATGTAGGTTAAAATTTCTGCAGTGATGGGCTCATATAGCACAAACTTTCATAAGCATAAAGCCAGAAACATACTTGATCAATTTCAGAACACAACAGCACAAAGTTTGAGTTTGTGTAGCATTTGACCACATATTTGCATATGTTTCAGGCCTAACATTTTGTCTTCAAATCAAATATGCTGTTTTTCTTTACCCTTGTGCTTTACCTAATTTGGTGTTACCGGTCAAAAAAACAACAACAGCATTTTAAAAATTGCTTGTAAATCTCTCATTATGCTGTATAATCTCCAGCGCTGGGTAGATTATTTACAAACTGTAGTCCATGATTACAAATTACATATCGGAAAATGTAGTTAATTAGTAGCGTAATCTGTTGGATTACACATATTAGGTAATGTATTCTGAGTACTCTTTGATTACTTTTAGATTACTTTTGAACTAACTCTTAAAGGGGTCCTATTATGCTCTTTTACAAAGTCTTGATTTTGTTTTGGGGGTGTACTAGAACATGCTCTCATGCTTGGTGGTTCGAAAAACGCATTATTTTTCACATAATTTATATTATTAAAATACCTTTCTCCCTATCCTGGCACAAACGGCTCGATTAGTTCTGGGTTTTAATGAAGGCCCGCCTTTCGAAAAAAACGAAATGTGTTGTGATTGGTTAGCTGTCCCAGTGAGTTGTGATTGGCGAACAGCTTAGACAGTGTTTCAGTACTGCC